ATACTAACTGCTGGTTCCCTTGAAAATGAATTTTACCAGTATGAATACCTTATATCTTAGTCCAATCAAAGAAATGATCATACAGATCATTGTCATCAACAGATAAGTTTCCATTTTTTTTGTCCTTTGAATATTTTGCTTTTTTTTCACCTTGATTAGATGGTTTTGAACCCATTTGAACAATAGCAAATCTATGTATATAATAAATTGGACAGATACACAAATGCACTAAGGAGAGAGATCCAGAGATCAAGAGGCTTTTCTGCTATTAATATATTATTACAAGAAAACAAGCCCATTTTGTATAGTTTCTAAAGACCAGTAAGTGCTTAAACTGAATATAAATCTAATCACCAGGGACTAGGGGTACTGCAATGCTGCATATAAGCTACAATTTACAATGTTTAATACATCATGAGAAAAAGAATTGCTAAAAGAAATCATTATCCTGTCTAAGAAAGGTAGCTGTTAAAATAAGAAATAAACATCTAGAGTTGTTTTAAAATCCTTATCATACTATCAATCAAAATCAGTTTTCCTTTATAAAAAGGTAATGCTTGAGGGAAAGCCACACTGGATATATTTGGCACATGATATGATAAATCAATTGGCTGAGGTTTTAAAATTGTTATGAATATGTATTTTGTGTCAATCAAATAAAAACATCAGAAAACTTTGGTACTGCAAAATTTACTTCTTTCTGAAGTAAAGTATACTAACATGTGATAGAAGACATAGATTGCTTTTCTTTTTATGGACAATTTTCTTGACTCTGGCACGTGTGCTTGCCAGACAGACAGAGACATAGAGACAGAAAGCGAGAAATCACCCCCCAAGGGGGATGGTCACGCCACAATCCCTTCTCCTCCATTCTCCTCTCGGGATCTCGGGCATGCACGCACATGCGCCCGGCGTAAGTTCTAAGCCACCGGGTCCAGGATGCGAACTGCGGTCGACTACATGGAAGTCCAGCGACATAGCCATTATACTAACTGCTGGTTCCCTTGAAAATGAATTTTACCAGTATGAATACCTTATATCTTAGTCCAATCAAAGAAATGATCATACAGATCATTGTCATCAACAGATAAGTTTCCATTTTTTTTGTCCTTTGAATATTTTGCTTTTTTTTCACCTTGATTAGATGGTTTTGAACCCATTTGAACAATAGCAAATCTATGTATATAATAAATTGGACAGATACACAAATGCACTAAGGAGAGAGATCCAGAGATCAAGAGGCTTTTCTGCTATTAATATATTATTACAAGAAAACAAGCCCATTTTGTATAGTTTCTAAAGACCAGTAAGTGCTTAAACTGAATATAAATCTAATCACCAGGGACTAGGGGTACTGCAATGCTGCATATAAGCTACAATTTACAATGTTTAATACATCATGAGAAAAAGAATTGCTAAAAGAAATCATTATCCTGTCTAAGAAAGGTAGCTGTTAAAATAAGAAATAAACATCTAGAGTTGTTTTAAAATCCTTATCATACTATCAATCAAAATCAGTTTTCCTTTATAAAAAGGTAATGCTTGAGGGAAAGCCACACTGGATATATTTGGCACATGATATGATAAATCAATTGGCTGAGGTTTTAAAATTGTTATGAATATGTATTTTGTGTCAATCAAATAAAAACATCAGAAAACTTTGGTACTGCAAAATTTACTTCTTTCTGAAGTAAAGTATACTAACATGTGATAGAAGACATAGATTGCTTTTCTTTTTATGGACAATTTTCTTGACTCTCTTGCTTCTTTCTACTGTCATTGTGAAACTACCTCATCATTGTCTTAATTTCACTGTTTGTTTATCAAAATTATTCCTCTCACGAGCTTCTTAAGGTTCAAAGTCAGTTCAAGTTTAGTTTTCTAGTATGTGCCAGTTAATTAGTTCACTGTCAACAATGAGATACATACTCACTTCCAACTGCGTGTGCGTATATCCCCACGCCCGTGCACCCTTCTCAGTACCAAAATAAAGGGCAAATGCTAAATTGCTTCATCTTCTAAATTTGTATATGTACACTGGGCAGCCAAGTTGAGGATAAATTAACATGCTTCTATTCTTGTGTATTTTATTAGCAATTTATAAACTTCTATCATTTACTGAAATTAAGGTGATGTTTATTTCTATGCAGAAATGTGTGCTATGTGTTTGTAGGATAAGAGTAAATTTAATGTTTTTAATAAATATTTCAAATTTGAAATAATTTTCAGTGAATGAATTTAGTCTCACTTCCAGATGGATGAAACTTGTTGGATAAGCGTCTTGGTCTGGATTCTGATCTGCTATAATACCCAAATCTCCCTCTCCAATATGTCACACACGGGCAGTTACTACACATAGTATGCACACATCTCAGTAGCTTATGACAGAAAATCATTTCTTCCTCCTATTACATGCCAAACAGAACTCTGCTCCTCACCCTCCTTCATTTCAGAAATAATTTTTTGAATATGTAATCTACTTAGAGCAATTGATCATTCTAGTTTATCTAAGAATGAGTGATTTCACTGGACACAGAACTTAAAATGCAAAAAAAAAAAACAAAAAAAAACTAAGAATTAAATTCAGTTGATTACCTTAAAGTCACACTACCACAACAAGTAAATTCAATTTTAAATAGAGTCATATTTCTATTTCAGAGATAAATGTTGAAATATACAATTTTTTAGAGGTTTTTGCCTTAGAGCATATGTGCTCACCAGAGACAGACAGACAGACACAGTGAGAGGGAAAGTGAGAAATCACCCCCCTACCCAGGGGGATGACCACACTTCAATCCCTTGCTAAGTGAGCATTTTCATGTAAAATATTTAAAATTCCTTTGGGGGTAAATAAAATTGGTAAAATTATTAATAACCATGTTACTTGTGGCCATTGTAGGACTTGACATATCCTAACACCGGAGAAGACCATCATTCTGCTGAAAACCGACTTCAGTTTGTTTGCTATAGGGCACATATGTTTACCAGAGACAGGCACTGAGAGAAAGAGAGAAAGCAAGTTTCCAGGACCAGCCCTGTGGGAGTCCAAAACCTTAATCACTACACCACCTGCAGGCCACTGGACTTTGTTTTATATTCATAAATGACAAAGATTACTTTGGTCTTCCAGCAACATTCAAACTAGCAGCCAGAGCACCATAGCACCCCTCTGAGCAGGAATCCATGCTTTTCCTGCCTTGTTCCCAGCATGTCATTATCAGTTGGTGGAGTACTCCTTACTCATCTATCATCCTCAAGATTATTACAGAAGATTTGAAGTCTTATTTTTACATGGCCCCTGACTCCTGAGTTTTCCAGACAGAAATATGAATTTCATATCTTCATTCCCGATTCCTCTGCTATCCTTAATTTTAAAAACAACAGAGGCCAACAGTTGGTGTAGTAGTTAAGGTTGGTGGACTCTCACATGGTAGATTGCAGTTCAAGTCTGGGACTCAGTGGCTTGAAATTCATACCGGGTGAGTATATATGCATGACCAAAATCCCAAAAGGAGAATGGAGGAGAAAGAATTGCTGTGTGGTCATCCTCTCTGGGGTGTGATTTCTCACTTTCTCTCTCTTTGTCTCTCTCTGTCTCTCCAGTGAACACACATGCCATAGAGCAAGAAAATCTCTCTTTGTCTCACAAAAAAAAAAAAAAGAAAAAGAAAAAGAAAAAACACACATGAAATAAAATATTTTAAAAATAACTTAGTTTAGACTTAGGTTTTTTGTTAATTTTAAGAGAAGAGATGACTACAGGATTCTCTTAATATAAATAATATACTGCTTTGTAAGATTTATTTTGTAGTTATAAATTTAGAATTTGTTAGGCCTTCATACTTTCTATTACAATGAAGATTACAAATCCAGTAGAGACAGTGTTCACTGATAGTAAGAATTGGCTAAGGCCATTTGTAGTGTTTGAAATTTGATGTCTTAGCATATAAGTGATGAACTAAAGCTTTTGGTGATCTTAAGACTGAGAAATATATCATTGGATTGTATTCTCTTGTAGTCTTCTAAAATAATTAAATAACAATGACTTTTTAGATTCTTTCTCATCTTCAGTATTGATTCCAGTTAGATGCATAGTCATTTATTAATTAATATAGAGGTTTATACGTTAAGATTCATGCTTTGTTAAGCAATCAGAAAATCTGTGATTGCAAATCCAAGTAGACCATAAACATGTAATACAATTGAGAACAGAGATTATTTAGTATATTAACTATAAAGGGAGTGTCAGATGTTAATAATTTCTTGTGCCTCGTGACTTAGCTGTGCTTTCTGCTGCCAAATCCAGAAGGGATTTGTTCATTGTAGACTATGAGAAGTAGAAATAACTGTAAAATATCCTATAACAGAAAACATAGTCCTAGTCTGTCTCTAGGGCTTACATTTCTCACTCGTTTCTTTCTTCCTAATACCTCAAGAGCATGCACTACAATTTAATGATAGCCTAAGTATGACTTAAAAAGGTTTACATTTGATTAATTTAATTGTAAAAATAACAAAATATCATTTCTATTTTTGAAGATTTTGGAGGTTATCATAGACAAATGATCTTACAGAAAATATGATCCAGTTATCATGAATATTTATAAATGATAAAAAAAATGTGAGTAGTATCACAGCACTTTATTGCATTAATCTTGCTAGGTTACTAGTGTTTTAAATGGTGCACTATTTAATATATATAAGAGTTATTCTTAATTGATGGGGGAAAAGCACATTATAGCTCGGTAAAAAGAAGATAACGGATAGTTGTATATTGCAGAGTGAGTCAAGGCCAAAGAATACCACGTAGGCATTTTGAACATGAACAAGACAAAAAATGGTTTAGAAAAAGAAGATAAATAGAAAAAATAAGCAAAGAGATGTATAAAAACCATGGTCCATAGCTTTTCTTTAATCCGTGATTTAAAAAACTAGTTGATAATAATTGAAACATTTTTTTAATAACATAGTTTTCACTTTTCATCACTTTCTTTTTCCAGAATGTATGCACTCCAGAATGCCCAAAAAACTCAAGTTGGTTTGTGAAGAAAGTTTACTTAATTCATCAGCAACCTTGCTACTGTGGAACCACCTGTCGAGACTTTTATCCAGCTGAAAGTGCTTCTCAAGTTGGATATGTGTGGCAACTGCAATTTACAGGTAATAAATTTCTTTTATTTTTTTTTAAATCTTTAAATTTTACTTTGAAATGTATAGGTTATGTATTCATTTTCTAATGACACACAATATTTTATATCTCAAAACATAAGACAAATTAAAAGAATACTAGTACTCTTATCTTTACTTCTTATTTTAACTGTTTGCTTAACATCAACTACATCCTAGGAATGGTTCTTGGTGCAAGGTATACCAGGGTGAAGGAAATTAGAGCATTCTCTCATCTTATGGATCTATTTTTAAGGAAGAATGTTACTAGACAAATGTCCTCAGAAATTAATGTGTTATTGAATTTGAAAAAGGAAAAAGAAGAGAAAGAAAAAAGAAGTCAAAAGGAAAAAAAGAGGAAGAAAAGAAAGAAAGGAAGAGAAAGAAAAGTGCCTATATGAACAAATAGCCTAAAATGGAAGCCTATAACCAAAGTACCTGTTTAAGTTTTCATGGGAGCAGCAGATGGCATGGTGGTTAAGGAGCTGGACTCTCACATGGCTGACCAAGGTTCAAGTCCCAGGCCCAGTGGCTTTAAAATCACACTGGGTGCATGTGCATCCATGCCCAAAATGCCAAGAAGAGAATGGAGGAGAAGGGATTACAGTGTGACCATCCTTCTGAGGGGTGATTTCTTGCTTTCCCTGTCTCTGTCTGTCTCTGGCAAGCACACACACCTGATGCAAAATACCCTAAAACAAACAAAAAAAATTAAAGAGAAGTAAAAGGTTTTCATGTGAAAAATTATCCTTGAAAAGAGATATGTATAATGATGCCATGGTAGAGAAGGTGGAAAGAGATCATTCTGGACTGAGGAACTTGTATTTATAAAATTAGAAGAAATGAGAAGAAATCAATCTTTGGGAGTTCTGATAAAGGCATTGAGAAAAGAATAAAAGTAAGACAGAGGAAGGACAGTGCGAGGATTAAAATGCAGGGTTAAATATTTGTTTGTATTCTAAAAGGAATAGACAATCACTGTAGAGATTGACACATACCCAAAAACTATCCAAAGATCAAGGGGAGAAATTGATTGGAGAGATAGATAAAAAGATAGGGAGTTATTCGGAGCCTAAAATTGAGGTGTTGGAAGCTTGAAATAAATGGCCATTCATTTAAGTAGAAAGCAAGGGATGAGCACTCCTAGTTTTCTGGCTTAAACACCTGAAACAATATAATACCAACACATTGCATTAAATATATTTTAATCGTCTAATAGAATTTCAGTTTCTATCTCACGATCTGGTTGAGGAGTAAAATTTTCTGTTCTTTAACTGCATTTTTAAATACTGTTTGACTTTGTTGATGCAAATGTGATTCACATTCTTAAAACTGTATAGTAATTGAATGAATTATTCTAAAGAGTACTTTCTTTGACTTTGATATTTTGGCATTACAGTTTATCAACCATCAGCAAATTAGTAGATTTGATATGTGTATTATCAACTATTTTTTTTTAATTTAACTGACGGCAGTTGCATTTTTTAAGATTAGTATTACATTAAAACAGTGTTGAAATAAACTAACAATTAGCCTTTTAGACAGAAGACATGATAATTTATTTCATCATGCTCATAAAGTAGCATTCTAGAGAGCTAACAACCTCTAATGATAGAAATAGTTATCGGTTCATTAAGCAAATTACACTCAAGACCAAAAGTGGTAGAGAGCAACGACTTGTTGATTGTAATGTGTTCCAGCTGAAAGGAATTTTAGACTATGCTATGAGTACTTGCTACTTTACAAATGTCACGCTCAAACAAAACAAACAAGTATAAACAACAACATTCATGTTTAGAGAAATTAAAGGAATTATTTTGTCTAGACTGTTTAGGGATTGTGTTTTGGTGATTTTTTAAATCCTTGGAACATATTGCAATCATATGAGAAGCTCTTTAAACTAATGCAGAACTTCCACTACAGCACATTTAAACCGGGTTTGTGTGAGGAGAACAGAGATCATTAAAGGCTCCCAAAATATTTTTAACACAAATATTGAGAAACACTCTACGGTCACACGCTCAATCTATTTATGGAGTTCGGTGCTTTCATTATTTTTATATTTGATATTTCATTGTCTCCAAGTAAGAATAAGACTTGCATATAACTTGTTACGTATAAATATTAAACCTCTTTTGAGAACCATTATAAAACAGTTGAACAGGACATATTGACAATAACAAAACAGGGAATGTATATTTTTAGGGACATTGAGGTGAATAAAAGGAAATCAACATTGCTTGGTACTAAGGAAGTATCATTATTAAATAATACAATCATATATCATTATCCATCCATAAATTTTTGCTCAGAGTTAACATAGTTGACTACAACAAAAATAAGAATTATGTGACTTCCCACATACATTTGAGAATCTGTAAAGTACTTAGACTGTGTAAGAGAAAGAAGCAAATGGGATAACGTTCAATAGTATATGAATATTTAAGTAGAATTGCCCAAACTCATTTTGACTGTCAGTGTAAAGATTCAGCAATTCAACTTTTCTCATTGAAGTTTTCAAAATAAAATAAACTGTAGGATAAATTTTAAAAATAAGGATAATTATACATTTCATGAACTAAAAGTTTTTTTCTTTATCTTTTTTTGGTTGTTGATGTTAAGATTTTTTTCTCATAAAATATAATCAAAGAAGAACTTTAAAATCAAGCTGGTGAGATTGCATGTGGTGCATTAATTTTATCAGCAGTAAAATTATTTTAATTAAGGGATTTTTCTCCTAACTAAATGAAGTGTCTTACACGCCCAATCAATTCTTGCCAATATGATTACTCTACGAAGAAGGAATGGCAATTAATTAGAAGAAGCCCCTTCAAGGACAATTGGTCTACAATACATAGCTTGAGAAAGAGCTGACATGCTCTGTTTCTTTTCAATGTCATCATCTGTGTTCATTATGTATATTATTAGGTTTGAGAAAAGTGGCAACTGACAGAGTGGATAATAAGTTGGGAAGTGAAATAAGACAATATGAATCATGCTTAGAAAAAAATGAAATCATAGCAAAAAAAAAAGAAATAAGTTATCTTGAATACATTTCCTTTTAAAGCATCTCATTATTAAGTTTACTTATCTAAATTAAATATATACATTAAAAATTAGTAGGTACTAGTAAGCTCTATTTTTCTAAATCAATAGTTATTGCTGCAGTTGTAAATTTATATTGCGAACCAATATTCACTTTAGTTTTTCTGTTTCTTCCTTAGAGAGAAGTAGATTTTACATGCGACAGGAGATTTTACAAGATACCAATAATTGGGTCATTGAGAAAGTCAGGATGTACTTTTGCATTAAAAAAATAGAAAAATATGTCATGACTTTCCTGATGACTTAAAATAACCTATTGATAATTCAATTTACTTTTGCAATTTTTTAAAGAATTATTTTATTTAACTTTCTTTATTGATTCTTTTGTTTTTATTTTTAATTTGACCAAAGAGAAACAGAGTAAGAGAAGGAGAGAGAGGGAAAGTGAGAAAGCAAACCACCAGGTCCGGGACTCGAAATGTGATTGGCTATATAGGAGTCCAGTGACTTTAACCACCATGCCACCTGCCAGCCCCTACTATTCCAACATTAAAATTATTATTGTGAGAGAGGTGAATGATGTATCATAATGTATTCATATTGTCTTATTTTCTTCAAAGCAATTTTTAATCTAAGTCATTTTATCACCATAATGCTTCACTACCAACCTTCTAATCAAATAGCCAACCGATCTTTGACAAACTATATGAGACAATAGAGTGCAGAAAAGAAAATCTTTTCAGCAAATGATGCTGAAAGAACTGGATATCCACCTGCAGAGCAACGAAACTTGACTTCTATGTCTTACCATTAACAAGAATCAACTCAAAATGGATCAAAGATTTAAATGTAAATCCTCAAACTTTAAAACTACAGATAGGAAACTCTTTTTTTAATTTTTTTTTGAGAGTTTTTTACTATAGGGCACATGCACTTGCCAAAAAGACAGAGAGACACAGAGAAATCACAGAAAGTGAGAACCACCCCCCCCCCAGGGTGGATGGTCATGCTGCAATTCCTTCTCCTCCATTCTCCTCTTGGGATCTTGGGCACGCATACACACATGCCCGACATGAGTTTATGCCCCTGGATCCAGGACTTGAACCGTGGTCAACTACATGGGAGTCCAGTGACATAGCCATTACACCAACTGAAAATCCCATTAAAGGAAATTCTTTTTTATTATTATTAATTAATTTATTTCTTGGAGAGGTGTTTGCTTTAGGGTGTGCACTCGCCAGAAAGACAGAGAGAGACAAAGAGACAAAAAGCAAGAAATCACCCCCAGGGGGATGGCCACGTTGTAATCCCTTCTACTTTATCCTCTTGAGATCTTGGGCATGCACGCAGGCGCACCCGGCATGAGTGTTAAGCCTCCGGGTCTGGGGCTTGAAATGCGGTTCGACTGCATGGGAGTCCAGCGACGTAGCCATTGCACTAACTGCTGGTCCCCCGTTAGAGGAAACTCTTGAAGACATTGGAGTAGGTAAAGATTTCTCAAGTAAGACCCTTGAAACACAGGCAGTAATCCCAAAAATAGATAAGCAGGACTACATAAAGTTGAAGAACTTCTGCATAATTAACGAAACATAATCACAGTGAAGAGACAAAACTCACAAGGGAAGAGAATATTTGCAAACACATCAGATAAGGGATTGATAACTGTAATATACATGAAACTCAAGCAGTTTACTGGTGAAAATAAAACAAACAATCCATTCTAAAGTAGATAAAAGAATTGAACAGACAACTCTCCTAGGAGCACTTACAAATGACCAAAAGGAATATGCTATAGGACGCGTGTGCTCACCAGACAGAGAGAGACAGAGAGACAGAAAGCGAGAAATCACCCCCCGGGGGGATGGCCACGCCGCAATCCCTTCTTCTCATTCTCCTCTCGGGATCTTGGGCATGCACACACACGTGCCCGGCGTGAGTTTAAGCCACCA